ACCTTAGAAATTTGCTGTCTAATCATATAGTTACTTTAGATGACATAGCTCTTGCCTCCAGTACTACTGTGAGGAATCTTGGAGTCATCTTTGATCAGAATATGTCCTTTAAATCACACATAAACCAAGTCTCTAGATCTGCCTTCTTTCACCTGCGCAATATTGCAAAAATCAGGAGCATCCTGTCTCAAAGTGATGCTGAAAACCTGGTCCATGCATTTGTTACTTCCAGGCTGGACTACTGTAACTCTTTACTATCAGGATGTCCCAATAATTCCCTAAAAAGCCTCCAGTTAATCCAAAATGCTGCAGCCAGAGTACTGACAGGAACTAGCAAGAGAGATCATATCTCTCCCATATTAGCTTCTCTCCACTGGCTCCCTGTAAAATCCAGAATAGAATATAAAATCCTTCTCCTAACATACAAAGCCCTTAATGACAAGGCTCCATCGTATCTTAAAGAGCTCATAGAGCCTTATCATCCTAACAGAGCACTTCGCTCTCAGAGTACAGGTTTACTTGTGGTTCCTAGAATCCACAGAAGTAGAATGGGAGGCAGAGCCTTTACCTACAGTATCTAGCTCCTCTCCTATGGAACCAGCTCCCAGTCTCATTTCAGGAGACAGACGCCCTCGCTACCTTTAAGATTAGACTTAAGACTTTCCTTTTTGATAAAGTTTATAGTTAGGGCAGCAGGCCTCCATTCTTGATTTTTGCCGTATTGTCTATTTGATGTCACTCCTACTAAGATTAAGGTTTTGTTCACTTTATATTTTCCTGTCATGCTACAAGTGTTCATTAAAACTCTAAAAAGATTAAAGATTTCCTATTTGCCTGCATTTAGGTTCATGCCTCTTTAAAGCTATGACGGTGTATATATTTACAGAGGTTCTTTTGTTTGGTGAAGTAATCCAAGCATCAAAGAAGGACATATGCTGCCTGACTGCACTGAGCTTGGGGACAGTGATAGAGGTTGATGACTGCAAAATGTTTGATTAGACATTGTATCATTTACAGTCTTATGCAAAAGTTTAGGCACCCCTTGATAAATAACAGATTTTGGTGATTTTTTATTTGAACAGATGTTAACACAGTTTCTCTTGGAAATGGAAAAAATGCACAATATTTTGGTGGACTGCTGTTGTAAGTATCTATGTATTACATCCAGGGTTACTGATATACGCTTGCTGCTGTATGATTGTTTACAGCCCTACCCACTTTGTTTCCTGGTCCTCTGATTTTGTCCACACCATTAGAATAAATTTCACCAGGCTGTTTGGTCTGACTATACCTTTACGGCTGCTGAAAGAAAGACTGCAAGATGTGCAAATTTGTAAAATGAAGTTTGCAGGCAGAAACTATACAAATTACAAAATTAAGCCTGCAGGTACAAACCCATATATATATATATATAAACTTATTAAATAATGTACCAGCTACAAAGTCAAATGTTCAGGCTAACAAAATTATGATTTTGACATAATATTCCATAACAATCAGGCTGAAACTTTGATATGAAACCGTGATATGAAAGATGACAGTCTAAGAACTTAGACAGATTAGCTTCAGAATCCAGATATGCATGTAATGATCACTGAAAAAAGTTGGAAAGATCAAGCATGTAATGTGTATCTAATGAAGTGAGACAGACAGAGAGTTTAAAAGAACAGGTGCTCAAATTTTTGTGGCATAATGATGCAGTGGTAAGCACTGATGTCTCACAGCAACATGGTTCCAGGTTTGAACCTTGTGGCCAACCAGGGCCTTTCTTTGTGAAATTTGTTGTTGTTTGTTGTTTGTTCTCCCTGTGCCAGGCCTGCATGGGTTTCCACCGGATACTAAACCTTTCTTCCGCAGTCTTTGGACTGCGGAAGAAAGGTTAGGTTAACTGCTGACTATATTGGAGTTGTGAGTATGAATGGTCATCTGGCTGTGTGTCAGCCCAGTGATAGACTGACAACCTGTTGTCCAGTGTCAGCTGGGATTGACTCCAGCCCCCTGTGGCCCTAGAGGATAAGCAATATACAATGGATGGATGGAAGGATGCCATGACTTGATGCTGACTTGTTCACACCAAATTTTATTATCTGTAGTGTTTATAACAGTCAGTTGTGCTCATCATTAAAACAAATTTTTCCCTGCATGTTGCTAGTGCTGGTATGTTACCTCCATACTTTTTTGGTACTGATTGAAATATGTTGGTACAAAATATTAAAAAGTATAAATTTAAATAAGTTAGCACAGAATGATTTATCCTTAGATGTAAAGGATCCCACTGGAGTTACTACTGATGTAAAGATACCGGAGTCAAATTTTGTGTGTTCACCACACCTGGCCAATAAAGCTGATTCTGATGCTAACATTTTACTGAACTACCATCACTGCTGCTTTCTATAATACTAAGTACAGTGAAAGGTTTTTATGTTTACAATTTAACTCATAACTGCTCATATAATATAACATGCAAAAAAACCTCATGAACTGACCATAGCAGAGCATTTAAAATATCCAGTGACAGGACATTAGATTCTAGTTAGACTTCATGAATTTCTTTTATTATTCATTGTAACATCAGAAATGTTAATTGTTATTTATCAGTTTTTCAAGGACCCCAAACTCAAATTTTGCCTTGATTCTGGGGGACAGCAGCACACTCAGGTAAATGATCTAATGATTGATCATATTTCTATAGTGTCATCAAATTTCTCTTACCTGGCAACTGTAAGAAATCCATGGCAATTCAAATCAATAGCAGTTCTTCAAAGATGTTTAGAGATATTTAGTTCAGTCCCACTGTGGCTGTTCCTAGGTCAGTCAGAAGATTTATCACAGAAAAAGGTTTCAGTGACTGCTCTTTCCCCAGAGATTCTGTGACAAACCTGCCCGGTCAGGCAGCTCCTTAGAAGTCTGTAATTCATTCACCACAACACATATAGTGTGGTGTCCAACTGCTGTGTTTAAAGAGCAGAAGGTAAAGGAAGGTGTGGTCTATGGCCAACCATCATTGCATAGCAGAAAACAAAGACCTCTATGATGCTTTTGTTATGCAACATGATGCTATGAGCAGATAAGTGTGTTGCTCTGACTTGTATTGAAGCTGATCCAAACACAAAAAACATACTTTCTTCTAATGATAATCTAGCTATGTTCAAATACACTGAAGGGAAATTACATCATGTTGTTGGGGTTCATAGCATACAGTAACAATATCAGGACATTCTTCTGTAGAAAGTTGTTCTAATAAAAAGTGTCCACAGTGGGTTTTATAATTTTTTTTTGTAGTTTTGGTTAACAAAAACCACACAACTTTGGCTGTGACTGATGAAGCCTCTTATTACAGAAAGAGCGTTCAAGCCATCTATAGATGTGGTGCTAGTGACATCTAGCATCAACAACTGGAACTGCAGTTTAATCAGTGGGTGTCATCTGTAGTTTCTTGTCAGATGTTATAAACCTCCGTTTACAAGGACAAAATTCATAAAATCATATACAAGAAGAAATTTTAAAAAAGCTGTTTAGTTAGTAAAATGAATACCAGCATGCAAGCATTAACAATAAAGATTAGTGATGTTAAAGGGTTTTAAAACAGAAAAAAAAACAAAGACATTAGCAGTATCACAGGCAGATGGACCCAATATGCAGACACACACACCGGGAGTGGAACACAAAAGGAGTTTATTCTATAAATAAAAGGTCAGGTTACTGGGTGGAGGAGAGATGAAGCAGTGGTGGTGCAGGTACTGGACAGGACAGACAGACAGTGTGGAGCTGGGGAATGGAGAACCCAACCCACGGTTCAGTTTGACTAAATTAAACTGTTGAATGGAATAATGCAGACCCAGTCTTACTGTGGCAGGGAGGGAAAAAGGTGTTGTAAAGTTATTGTTCTGTGTGTGATGATACTGAGGAAAAAGCCAGGCTTCAGAAAACCAACTAGCATTTTAATATTTTTAAACTAAATTAAATAAAGAACACTATTATTTAAAAAACTGTTGTAAAGTCTTGTTCTGTGTGTGATGATTTAATGAGGAAAAGTCAGCCAAATCTTTATCAGGTAGTGGAGAGTTCCAGAACATGTTGAGCACATTAACATGCATTGTTAGAAATATAATTCAGAGAGGGACACTCAAGGGAATTATGTGTCAAGCAGGACAGAAGTGGTGTTTAAAATCACTATTAGGTACAGAGAAAGAATTTGGGGGCATTAGAATGGGGATCAATCAGATTAATTGTAGAGACATGATTAGTAAATTGGATGTGTGTGCGCGCGCACCTGTTTACTTTAATTAGTTCCTGTAATTCAGATTATTCTATGCAATGACCCTACATGCAACAGTGGGTGGTGGTATGCACCCTAATTGTTGGTTCGCAATTCGCCAGAAAACAAATGGTGGGTGAAGAAGAAGAAGTAGTAGAAGAAGAAGAAGAAGAAGAAGTAGTAGAAGAAGAAGAAGAAGTAGTAGAAGAAGAAGAGTTGCGACATTGACGGATTGAAAATGGTAGCATGTCACGTGATTCCTGAAGCTTCAAATAGTTCCAAGCAGTCTATTAAGATCCATTGTTTTCTCCAGGAAACAGCAGGATTTATCAACAGTTACTATTTTTAATGACTTGTACAGCCTTACAAACTAACCCTGTGTTCTGTTGCTGTAGTCATTTCAACTAATTTAGCTAGGTACCTAATTATTAAAGTCACCCAATATTTGAGAGAGACGGTCTAAAATGTTGGAAAACGTGTTTTCATCCATATCGCGAACTTCAAATGTCACAAGTAGTGTCATTTCTATTGATAACAGCGTCTTGCTTTGGAAGCAGTAAATAAATAAAAAGTCCTCCTAGAGTCAATGGCGTGGTCGCCACTCTCCTCCTTAAACACTCTGGCTGGCGCTGACATAATAAGGAAGTGGAATCACAGATACATGCACGACAACAACACAAGTCTGCAAGAAAATTAGTGATATATTTATAGATATGCGTTTCATATTACCCGCGTTTATTCTTTAAATGTCTGAGGTAAGAATATATCCTGGGTTTACATAATGAACTTCTTTCACGGGCGGTGATATGCTGTTAATGCTAACTGTTCGCCTTCCGTTGTTAGCTTCGCTTATTCTGTTAACGTTGCATTTAATGAGCTGGAAGATTTCGCTTAGCTTTAAGTTAATCTATCCGGGGTAGATAATGTTTTATGTGACATTTGTAGTATAACGCTTCTTGTCAGAGGGAATCGTCTGTCCGGTCGCTGTGCACCAGCTGTCAAAACAAGAACTAAACTACGTTAGCAAGCTGCTTCTTGTCATTACATTGTCGCCCTGTGCCATAGACTCCGTGCACTACACTAACAATAATGTTACTCGATTGTACATTGTAAGTAATAAAGCCATTTAAGAGTGTGTGGCAGGTGAACAGCTCTGACAAGTTGCTGTCTTGAAATCTTCTTGAATGAAATGTCCTCAGTCACATAATGAAAAACTGCCACTGTCACTGTGTTAAAGTGGATTATATATGCAAAGTATAACCTCTTACTGACTGTAGACTGATTTTTGTGTGTGATATCAAAAATATTTAAATATGTTGTTTACATGCATAGTATTTACAGATGAAAAAACATTGAATCATTTGTGTGTGTGTGTGAAATAGACTTGTGGGTTGTTTTTTTTTCTCAACTCAAGAATATTTGCATGAAGCCTTTGGATACGACTGGTACTTTTTACTACTGACAAACACTATGGAGGAGACGAGTCGGGAGGCGGTTGCCACTGG